CCAGCGGAGGCGGTGGGACAGGTTTTGCCGTGAAATGTCTCCATCATGGTTGTAGCTGCCCCCCCCCCCCCCAACCCCGGGCGCTGAGTGGCTGGCCTCTCTCTCTCTCTCTCTCTCTCTACCCTTATCTCTGGCTCAGTCTGCCCCTTTCTCTGTCTCTGGGCACGCTCAGATCCTCAGCATCGGGGGCTGTACCGAGCGACGTGGTTGTGTTCGGGTTATGGGTCAGGCGGACGAGATAAATTTGCACAGCTATTCCATGACGGACACTGCTGATCTCCTCCCAAAAGTTGACATGTATACGTAATTTTACGTTCTTATTCGGTCATAATATCAGAATTTAGAAACGTCTTTGTATTTTGAACTACCCTACTTGGAATTTATCTCTTGAACAATCATTTTTAAGTATTTCGAGGCTCCCCATCTATCGAGCAAGATGTTCAGCGTATAATAGGCTCTAGAAAATGCTCGCTGGAACACTTCATAGAGGATAATAAAAATGGCGTTAAACTTGCTGGAAAACAAACGACCATTTCAGAAGCATATGATATTTTACAAGATCCAGAATTTGATACCAAAGCCCGGAGTTCCTTCGGCATGAGTTGACAAAAGGCATTCTCATGGAGATTGGGCAAGGCTTCAATCACCGTTTAGACATGCTAAGTTAGGTTTAGAATGAACTGGGTTAGTGTTTGATCATGAGGCTGAAACTTTTAGCCCAGTGTGAAAAGAACATTTAGCCATGGTTGAGGCTGATATAGGCTTAGTCCTTGATGCTAGGCTCCCCTACCCCTATTGAATATTATTGTGATAGGCCTAATACAAGCTAAATTAATATCGACTACTCAGTAAATTTCTTTAGATTTCATATTAAGCACATTTAAGAGCCATTTATGTCTGTTACTTGAGATTCCATTTAAAAATGAAATTTTATGTCTTACTAGGAATCATGATTTTTTTTCGATTTGCAAGTAATGAGATTATTTTTTTGATAAGTGATATGATTATCAATCCTTCATTATTGTTATTGAGGAGTTGAGCCTTTCTTGATTATCTTATAGCAACCACATCAGCCTCCATTATCAAAAAAATTTAATCAACATGATATGATGATTATTGTGTTCTCTATTTTCTAATTAGAGTAGCAACAAAATCCTTTAAAAATGAGATCGTTACCATATTTTGTTCAATTGAAATTCTAGTTTCATAAAAGAATATAACCCTTTAAAGATTCACCATGAGTTAGAATTTTGCATTAATAACAAGAGTTAAAATGATGAGATCATTTGATTGATAATATTATTATGGTGTGTCCACTATTTGGAATGAGAATTGCGCATGAATTCATGCTTGTGTAATACTTTCTATGTTCGTAATATTCACTTATATAACCTCTACATCATCTTCAATATCAAATAGAGCAAGTATATTCATGTTCGTATAGTCATCACCATCAAGTATCTTATGTTGATAAGTGAGGTTTCAAATTCTCTTGCTTCAACTGAAATAAAAGTACCAACTATATGATTATATATCTTATGAAAAATAAATTGATACATAAATTATGCAGGCATCATAAATTAGGTATCTAATTTTTCAATATTTTGTGATTAATTATTTTGACATATCTAATATGTAATTTAAATTTAGTTACATTAGTTAATCTCTCAACTATTTTATCTTTCATAGTAATGTTTATCTATGCTAGAGAATAAGATATGGAACTCAAATTTGGACAAAATAACTATTTTTTCATTCCTATTAAATGAGTAAATGTTTAAATGAAGTGATTACTTAGTATATCTTTTAATATCGTGATAAATTAAAAGCCATGTTTGTGTTGCAAATATGTGGGACTAAGATTTTGATTTCCAGGAACCTACAATTTAAAAATAAAATTATAGATATGTATTTCCTTTGGCCAGTGGAGAAATATAGAACTAATATCTAATCTGGAAATATCAAATGGCAAGCCCGTTTATCCAACCTATCATTTTTGGGGTATCAACATTTAAGTGTCAATTTAGTTCAAATCATTTTCCCCATCTTGAGGCATGACCATTTGGATCGTAGCCCTCTTTTATGAATGAGATATCATCTAATCTATACGTAGATATAGAGAGGTCCACACCCCCAGTATGCGTGTGACTCTCTGTGTAGAGCTATCAGGAAGCATGATTTGAGGCGTAGAAGATGTTGGGAGGTCGTTGGAAACTACCCATTGAAAATCTCCACAGAAGCTCTTTAAAATAGTGTTAATCTTGCCTGCAAACTACGGGTCAACGCGAGCAATAGCTGAGATTGATTCCTGATTTTATGGTAAAGCATAAAGTGCCGTACGCAAAGGTCTGTGCTTCAGGGGTTCATTAGGCTTTTCTGGAGAGAGAAAGTGTTTACTTGCCAGTCTGAGGTATAGCATCTCCTCTCTCTCTCCCTCTCTCTCTCGCTCTCTCTATTATTCTATCAATTCATCGTTCTTCGCTCATTTCTCATCCTCCACGTCTCCGACCACTACATGTTACATCTATTCTGGATGCTGGTTCTACCTATGACCTCATAACCTCTTTTCCCTCTATGATCTCTCTATCATCACCTTATATCCGACATAAGATCTTCCTTCCACCTCTCTGACCAGACACCTCTTGGAGATGAGGGAGAGCAGGGATTGCCACAGTAATGAGCCTTGACTTCAAACTTACTGATCCTTTTACATGCGCTCTTGGGGCTTGATCACTTGTTAACTGGGGTGTTGGGGTTAAGTTTAGATAGGCCTTGGCGTTGTAAAGATGTCAACGCAGTAACACGTCTCACTTTTCATAACTTGCATATTTCAAGGCCAATCATGTTCAAGGAGACTCGTGGCCTCCTTTATTAAAACGTCCCATCTTTAGCCCACAGTTCATCATCTAAAGTCAACGCATTCCTCTCTTCTCCACATACTGTCCCTTCTACTTGTGCTTGTGCAAGCTTGTCTAGCCTCTTATCTTCAACTTATCTTGTAATATCTTGATTGTTCTCCTCCCTTAGTATATTCCACTTGGGTTGTCACTAAGGGTAGGTAGTGTATCATCTTATCACAAGCTAAATATTTGGATCCAACAAGGTCATGAGGGAACCAAGGTGGAAGGATGTATTGATCCTGTATTGGAATAGGTTGAGGATGAACGGAGTATAGTTCAGTGGATGAGGGATACTAAAACTTAAGTGAGATGACTAGATGTAAGGGGTTAGGATCAACCAAGAAAGCTTTACTACTTTACAATGGTTTGGCCCTCCTTGTGTGCTCCGTTCTATAGAATATTTCCAAGTTAAGTACAATTAGTTGAACACCAATTGCCATCTCACATCCATTATTTTTAATTCTCTTAGTCAAAATGTCTTCAACACTTGTGTTTTTTTTCTAGATTCACGACTCAAGAGAGGAAATATTGAAGATCTAGTATTCAATCACCGTTCTAGGTTCATGGCTCCAGAATTGTCCAAGTACTTGGAAGCACTTCATACTAGTGAGAGACCTCTACTACCATGAATCAAACAATACAGAAACAACATACTTAAATTTTGCAACAATTGGTTCTTAAGCTTTCTTATAGTGTAATGTTTGAGCTTTTAGCACCTTGAAAGAAAGATTGTAAACAGATAGTCAACTCGGATGCACCAATTTTTGGTTGGTAAGGCCTATAAAGAGAGATCTCCTTGTTGAGCTTCTCAATTGTGCTTCTTGTCCATTGTAACTTATTGTGCTCTTCTACCTATGGCTCAAGAATTTGAGAAACTCATCATCTGTTGAAATTAATCACTTAATTGTGTTTAATTTTCAAAACATATTACTCATTATTTTTTCTTGAATCGTGATTAAGCAGCTCCTAACCATTATACGAGGATACCCACCACCTTATACCTTAGTACCCCTGATTCTCCTTCATTTAGAACCGGTGAAAATCAACCAGGAAAAAAGGCCGCACCTTTGAAGTATCCAGAGCTTGGGGGAGAGAGAATATCAGCGGCCCAGGTGAGGAAGACCGTGCCCCGGGGCGCGGGAAGTTTCCCTCGCCGCGGGCATTTCCGCCGTGGCCGTGGAACAGTTGGTTCGACGGGATTCCTGTTGAAATCTAAACTGCGCTGTGCTCCGATGGGCGGACTGCTTCAGCTTTTGCTTCTCTCTCCGGTGTCCATCTCATCTTTGTCCTCTCCCGCCGTGTATAGTGTATTCTTACCATTGGAATTTCTCGCTTGAGATTTCTGCTTAGTCGTCGGATAGGAGATGCAGGATGACGAACGTGATGGCGTTGTAGGATGTGGTATTGATTCGTCTCGCCGTGTTACAACTTATCAGCCTGTTTATTCCGTCCTGACTGCCCGACATGGTGGCGACTGGGTTGTGTGTCGTATATTTGTCCCGAGTCGATTCCTCTTCGTCTTCCTTCCTCAGAAATGATTTTTTCTTTGAGGGAGGGGAAAGTTGACGTAATCTCCTATAATCCTACGGTCTGAACCAACGGCTAGAATTGACAATTCATTCGTTCTAAAGCATCTGCCATTCTCTTGGGAGTAGGCAGGATTCCAATGTTTATTTCTTAATCATTTTTTCTTATTTAACGATCTTCTTCATATATATATATATATTATTATATATGTTAGTTAAAGTACATTTTGCCTCAGATCTTATGCACTTAGTCTGGGGATGCTATTTTTCAGTAGAAATTTCTCCTTAGAATTCATGTGGTCTCAACCCCTTTAAGGAAAAGAAGCTTTGACCCATGGACATGGAGCCCACATTAATGTTTTGTATTTCACTGGCCACTCATGCAATGATCACCTGAAGACGTACCAGGGAGGATATTGGCCATTCATCACAGATTTGGTCATTTTATTTGTCCCCAATGTTTATGCTTATATGTGTATATTTTCCAGAAAATCCACTGCTATAATATGAATTTATTATCTCTCATTTCCTCACAGGTCTGGTTCTTTGCGGTGGAAGATTACCCTTAATATCCATGGCTGAAAATTCAGCATGTAATTTGGAAGATGGTCCTACTTCTTCCTCAGGTAGAGAGAGTAAGAAGCAAGTGACCTATAAACAATATGGAGGCAAAGAACCATCCCCATTGCCCGGCAGTGAGCTCTGGACTGATGGATTGATCTGTGCATTTGAATTTGTTCGAGCCCAAAGGTGCACATCTTCATCGAAAATTGATCCAAGGAGCCAACTCGGGATGCAGAAGGGAAGTCTGATTCAAAAGAACAAGGCATCAAGTCTAGACCTGTTTGATCCCTCTGAGAAATTTATTGATGATAAGAGCTTATTGGAGTCCCCATCTCTCTTAGAACCTGATGATGCTTCACTTCTTCTTGGAGTGAATGAAGTTCCTGCATCAGCTCATCATCATAAGGAGAATGAGGGCAGATGTCTTCAGAAGCTTTCTGACAGCCACTGGATTCCCATTGGATGGAACAGAATTAAGGAGCTTGTCAAAACTGTAAAAGTGGATGGAAGCTGGGTTTCACAGCCAATTAGCTTTGGGGATGAGGAAGATGGCATCACTGTGGCAGACTTGGCTACTCCATATTGGGAGAGACCTGGTGGCCCGACCTGGTGGTGCCATGTTGACCCAGTTCATCACTTTGTTGGTGCATGGTTAAGTAATGCTACCTGGCTTCATCCAGCAATCAGCGTTGCCTTGAAGGATGAAAGTCGATTGATCAGCGAACGCATGAAGCACCTTTTATACGAGGTGATTTTTCATCTTTCTTGCCATCCCATTCCCATTAAGTAGCATCTCATGATTTTGAGAAGATGCAGTAACTAGCTGGCTCATGTTAAGTGTCAATCTAAATTCATATGAGGGTTCATTCTATATTGTCGTCATTTCCCATTGGACCCCCTACAGGCATGCTACTTCCTGACCACCTTCAGTTCTCTGTTGACTTTAAGCTGTTATAGCTGACCCCTTGCTATAAAAACACATGTTCAGGTTCCTGTCCGGGTTGCTGGAGGCATATTATTTGAGCTCCTGGGCCAGTCTGTGGGTGATCCTTTCTGTGATGAGGATGACATACCCATAGTGCTCAGGTCCTGGCAATCACAGCATTTTTTAGTGACTGCATTGCACGTGAAAGGGCATGCCGAAACGACCAATGTCTTGGGGATCACTGAAGTCCAGGTACCCTGATGCTCAGGCTCTACAAGTGGCATGCTCTGCACCATCAATTTACCTGATTATAAATTATGAAAAATGTTATTTAGCTTCTGCTGAAGAAATTATATGGGCTTCAGGCTCCACATATATGGTTTTGCAAAGAAATGCAAATTGTGTTGGATTTCTTCTATTAGACATGGTGTCTCACTATGAGAAACGAATGTTAATTTTCTTCAGGTCCCTGCTAGACTGCAGGCTAAAGACTGACATCAATGATCTTGCTCCACAATTATTCCTTGATTTTCTTCATTTGCTCAAATTGCTTGCTTACCTCTTCTTGGTTGTGATCAAGCCTTCTCGAACTGCTATTTCTAGCCTATCTAATTTTTGCCTGCCTTTTATTAATATATTTCGGTTCTTTATTTCCTTTTTTCTGCATTATTGTCCACACCTGCAATACTTTCTTCAACATTACTCGAACAGGGTTTCTGACATCACAAAACGTCGCAGGAACTTCTTTATGCAGGGGGAACCACAGCACCGAAATCCGTTCACGAAGTTATAGCACATCTAGCTTGCCGTCTCTCCCGTTGGGATGATAGGTAGTGTAGATGCTTTTTCTTGTCTCATTTCGATTTCTTACGAAGCAAAATTCTGAAGATTATCTGACCCATGTGGCCTGAATTGAATGGATACTCGGCAAAAGCTATCTGCTTTGTGAAACAGTGAATGTCTGTGATCTTTCTTTCTTCTTTTAGGGTATGATTCACTTTTATTATTTCACGCATTGAGGCCCACTTCCTTTATTCGCAAGAATAAATCTGATTCCCACACCAAGAACATAAATGGGTTTTGAAAAACTTTTACAGAGCTCACTGGTATCTATGGATTTCTCTTCTATTTTCCATGAGCATTAAATCCAGGCATTTCCTATATTATAAAGTTTCAAGGTGCATGAACTTGAATTAAATATTCTAATTTCATTATCTTACAAGTAAGTACAGCGTTTCCTAAAGAAGCAAGCTCCATTTCCCTTAGAATTTTCGTTCTCTTTTTGGTTGAACTTTTTCTCTGCAAGGCTGGACCATGCCTGGTTGAAACTTTGGCATTCACTCAAAGTCTCTATAGATTATCCATACTGCTTCCGGCATTATTTTCGACGAACTTAATACACCCATTGAGGGTTGATGGTGCTGTAAGTGATCAAGGTACTGAAATCTTGGGAAAAATATGCATCAAGGGAGGTAATACTATGCTAAATCTTATCTCAGGAGAGAGCTGGATCCATCAAGAAGCGCATTAAAAATGGAAACGCAGAACTCTCTTTTCTTTACTTAATTTTTATCGGCGATATCATCTCCATTCTATCTTCTTTTGCCAAAACTGGCTGGGTATATTTTGAAGGCCTCTTCTCCTCATCCTCCTCTCAGATTGTTTCGCAAGCATGTGTTTGGAGCAGCAGACGAGATCGAGCTCAAGTTTGTAAACAGGTACATTGCTGATGGGTCCTTTGGTTGTGCATTTGATTCTAAAGATATTCATAACGGGCAATTAGGGTTTGGGTTAGGATCGTATATTTCCTTCTCATCATGTTGCGATATCCAGGAGAAACTATGAAGACATGAATTTGTTTAGTGTGATTCTCAACCAAGAAATCAGGAGGCTGTCGACGCAGGTATGAACCCACTTGCGGCGGTAATAATTCTAAAATTACTAGGTTAGGTATTAAATCATAGTCTCATGGAAGGGCCAAATTTAGCGAACTTAGTGTAATTATGGCAGGTCATTAGGGTTAAGTGGTCGTTGCATGCGAGAGAGGAGATCATCTTCGAGCTCCTGCAACACTTGAGGGGAAGCCATGCGAAGGACATGATCGAGGGGATAAGAAAGAGCACCAGAGAGATGCTGGACGAGCAGGAGGCCGTTCGTGGCCGGCTTTTCACAATCCAAGATGTCATGCAGAGCACCGTCCGCGCGTGGCTACAGGTACTCTTTAGATCTTGGTTTCCCAGCTCTTTTCTTCTTTTTTTTTTTTCCCGGAGCCTTAGTCCTCCTTAAAAAAATGAAATATGGTCACGGGTATTCACCAGTTTTGGGAAAAAAAATTCAATCAAGTGGATATAAATCGAGAAGGGTAGAATTCTAGGCTTCATTTCATGCGCAAAGGTTGCTGTTTTTTGGCAATTATGGACTTGTTCTTTGCTTCAATCGGGATGAACATGCATAATCTCAGGTACTTATCACACCAAGAAAATGAAACGCAAAAGGGATTATTATTCTGATATCAATGAGGTTTAAGCACCCCCGCCATGCAATATTTTTTTCTTTCTTCCCACATGATCAAATTCATCTTTTTCTAACCCAGAAAACCTAATCACCATCGGATGCAGACCCATGATAATATAATACAAAAATCAAGGAGGAGGAAAAGATGTTTATGATTTGAGGTAGAATTTTAAGCTTCCTTTCATGTGCAAAGGTTGCTATTTTTGGCAGTTGTGGACTTGTTCTTTGTTTCAATCGAGATGAACGCGCATAATCACAGGTACTTGTTACTCTAAGAAAATGAAACACGAAAGAGATTACGATTATAATGATATCCATGAGGTTTAGTGCTCCCCGCTCCCCCAACTGCAGGATTTTTTTCTTTCTTCCCACATGATCTATGAGTCATCTTCTTACCCAAAAACTTAATCATCATCGGATGGTGACCCCATAATATGATATAATGTAATATAATGAGTGAAAATATTGAAAATCAAAGAGGAAAAGATGTTTATGATTGTTAGAGGTTGGATCTCTGCCCTCTATTCTTTCTTCTTTTTTTTTACGTGGTTTGCAGGATCAGAGCCTCCGAGTGACCCACAACCTGGCGGTGTTCGGCGGCGTGGGGCTAGTACTGTCGATCATCACTGGCCTGTTCGGGATAAACGTGGACGGGATTCCGGGGGCGGCGGCGGCGCCGTACGCCTTCCCGGTGTTCGCGGCCGCGCTGAGCCTCCTGGGGGCGGCGCTGGTGGGCCTGGGGATGCTCTACCTCGGCCTCAAGAAGCCCGTGACGGAGCAGCAGCTCCGCGTGAGGAAGTTGGAGCTCCAGCAGCTCGTCTCCTCCTTCCAGCACGACGCCGAGAGCCACGCCAAGCTCAGGGAAGGCCTCTCCCGCCACAATCTGCCCCCCACCGCCGCCGATATGATCTCCCACGCTGATTATATTCTCATCGACTGATCACCCGCTACCCCTCACGCCCATATTTTATTATATTCACCAATCCAATCATCCTCTCTCTCCCTCTAGGTGCCTAATCGATACCCACCGATGTTTACTCTCGTTCTCTCTCTACCATCCTCTCTGCCTCTTCTCTCGATACCCAATTAGACCCATGTTTATTCTCTCTCTCTTCCCGGTGACCTGCAGACGTTATGGCCATACTTACGCTCATCAAAGGGTTATTTTATCTTAGTGAGCACAAGTCTGGAATATCGACCGAGCAATATAATATAATCATACTAAAAGGAAAAAAAAAAAGCCCACAGATGCAGGGGCACTAAAACCCACATACATCCACTACCCCTTGTTCTTCCAGTAAGAAAAAAAAAAGATTTTGAGATCGAAAGGAATGAGAAAAAGAAGCATGCTGACGGAGGACGTCAGTCAGGAGGGGGTTGAGGGGGAGGTCAGTAGGGGTAGTATCCCTGAGAAGGCTGGAAACTCTGCTCACCTGGTGCGTTGTCCCAGGCAGGGGGGGCGTACGCTTGAGAGAGAAAGCTCTGAGAAGCAGATGGGTCTCCACCAAGCTCATAAGCGAACAGGGGATCCTGCTGCAGCTTCATCCCTGCTCCGGTCATCTGCCAAAAGAGAATCAATCACACGGGCATCATCATCAGAGGAGGGAGAAGGAACCCAATTCTCTCTCTACCTGGTCTGGATGAAATCGATCAGATAAATGGTGAAGATCATTGGATCATGAACTATCACCTCGAATCCTCAGTTACCTCTCTCTCTCTCTCTCTCTTTCTCTCTCTCTCTATTCATCTATCTCGTGTTAAAAAACACATGTTGTACCTGATTGAGAGTCCCATCTGCAGCGAGAGAAGCAGCTCTGCTGGCGGGGAGCTTGGCCTCAGGAGAGCTCCGATAAATTGGATGCCTGGAGAAGCACAACGCCATCAAGAAGAGAACAAATAGTATATATAATGAGGCAGATGATATATAATGGGAGGACCTCCTCACACCTACCCTGTACTGCTGCTCTGCGGCAGGTGAAAGCCCATCGCTTCAAACTGCTGGCCAGCACCCTGCGCAATGGACTTGGCTTCAGAGACTACACTCGAAGCTAAAACCTAGTAAGCTTCCCAAAAATGGAAAGAAAAAGGAGGGGGACAACAAAAAGTCTTCCCATGGATGGCTCAGTCTGACTTCATATGTGCCATTGGATGAAGCAAAAAAATACCTCTTCTCTACTCCTAGTTAAACCAGCTTTCACTATAATTTATGCATTCCCTTGAGCAACTCCCACAGGTGCTTCCTTTGGAAAAATATAAATTCTCTACTAGAATCATGCAAATTCAATACCACGGAATTATTTTCCAGGTGGGTCTTCTGATTTTTGAACTTTCATGTCATATTGTTCTTCAGTTACTATATTCCCAACTCTTCGTCTCATGGAAATTCTGTAGATGACAAGCTGACAAATGAAGCATAGACAGCACTGGTTCGTCCATAGCTGAATCTGATCACAGCCCATCAAGAGCGACTAAATCAAGCAATTGGTGGCCGTTTCATGCTCTAGAGTGACTGAGCATAGCTTTGTATCTAGCCAGAAAAAAAAAAAGAAAAAAAAAACAGGCATTTGACCGGGAGAACTCAGGAGCTTGTTGGAATAAGTACCCTGAAAACTTTGTAATTTCTTCACTAAATGATATTACTCAAGGGGAGTACTCAACAACTGATCTGGCATAAGAAGATGGCTAGTTAGATGGGAAAGGCACTCCTAGCATGTCACCAAGATAGAGTATTGATGAGTTAAACCAAGAGCTGCTGCCTATCACTGGCTACTTTGGAGATCTTAGAGTTCTTCACCTCAATTATAAACGACTAACCAGTTCATTGGTTAGTATTCTATTTTACATTTTTTTCGTTAAGAGTCTGCTATGAACATATTACAGATAATTTATTATGACAAAAAGGTTTTAATGGAGGACATAGTCTTTAAATTTCATACAAGGCTGAATAAGAGAGCCCAAAGCACTAAAAGGGAAGATTCAAGAGCATCATGCAAAATCACCTCATAGTTATTGTTGTGAACAGTGGCGCAAACCCTAGGAGGATATGCAGAGGAAAAACTCAACCCGTATTCACATCTCAGATGACTGTTATATATAAGTACCAGGGCCACAAAACAGGGAAACCACCCAGCAACTGGACACTAACAAACCAGGAATCGGTCCAACTAAGAACAGAACTCCTAATTATTCATTCTTTCCCACAGTTATGCTGATCGCTTAACTATTTAGGGATTACTCGTTGAGGACTTCTCTATTAGTAAGCTAAGTACTCTTGGGTTAAGACGTTCAATTCTTCACATTGGTAACAGCAAATCTTCATGACAGATGCTACAACAGCTTCCAACTACCTCCTCAATGCCTCTCGCACCTTAGTTTAGGCAAAACCTGTAAAACCCAAGTGCTACTTCCCGCTTCTTAAGTAAGCTCTTCTGTCTGAACATTAACCTAGGAGCCTTATATCACATGACTGAAACTCTAACATTCATCATGGCACGTACTCTTGTCTCAAGTCAAAAAAAGGTGAATATAGAAGATGAACGCCAGTCATCGTTACAGAGGAAGGAACCATCAAGCTAAATGACCACTTGGTTTTGTCTCCTTTACTTACATCCCTTCTATTCAAGCCTGACCCTGCGAAGAGGATCCAGACGGCTAACTTGAGGGAGCCCAGAACAGACCATCTATTGTCCGAGTACAGAAGACCAACTCACCCCAACTCAGCTGCGTCAATTGACAAGAAAAGGTCAAATACTTTTCTCCTTCCGTAATTATATTTAACTCTTTGTCCCTTTCCATTGTCTTTGTGGGTGGCTATAGATATTATATTACTTTCATTAATGATTTTAATCATTTAAATAAATTACAGGAACAAAGTGGTAAGGCCTATTCGAGGGTGGGTTCTACAGTATGATAAAAAATCAATTTCCTAAAAACGAGAAGATTTATAATCACAATGCAAAGGAATACTTTGAAAAGGTTGCACATATTTTTCTGGAAACAGAGCATATTATTCATGAGCATTCGGATGTAAATGTACCCCCCCCCCCCCCCCCCGGCCCCCTCCCACAACACACACTCTCGCAACAAAAACATTCAATTGAGAGGAAAAGCCTTATTGTTTCAGCATATTATACATAAGAAGTTTTTTGATAGAATGTCATATATGTGCACTGAAGATAAGCTCTATGCTATGATACCATGAAGACTGAGGATGAGGGGAAGGGAAGGAGATAGGCCTAAGAAAATGATGCAGTGTCAGACTTCTCTCAGTGCAAATATTCCTTGCTATTTACGAAACGCCGCCATTGAATAAATCTGTTGTATCAGCCGTTATCATAAAAGCTCTATGTTTGAAGACGTGACACAATTAGGCAACAAAACTATGGTAAAAGTAACATACAGTATTTATGGATGATTGATGGAGAATTAGATGACTATGTTCATCCATGACCAGCATATAGCTGAACAGAACCTTAATCAATACACAGAAATGTACCTTCAGATGTTCCAAGCCACCAGAGTACACAGTGCCCACCATGCCAGCGGGTGGTAATCCTCTTCCAGAAAACGCCTCTGATGAAGAATATCTATGAAATGAATGTCGTGGAGCATGATTCTCGGCAGGATTGCCAGCTTGGAGAGTTCTTTCTCTGAGCCTAGCTAAGACTTCCAGAAGGGCATCCCTCGCAACATTCGGATTTCCAGTGATCTGTAAAGTTGAGCCTCAAATTAGCACACTGTTTACTCATCCGCAATTCTAGAATATTTAGTAGCAGTAAGAAGAAAAGCTGATGCTCATGCAGCACCTGAACAAGCTCCTCATTTGCAGAGGCATACTGTGGTTTATCATCCTTGGAATAAACTCGAATGTCAGCTTTTGTTCTTCTTCTCATCTCAGTTATTATATAGCCACCCTGTCCAAGAAGGCAGCCGACCTTACTTGATGGGACAAGAAGCCTGGTAGTGATCCCCCTGTCAGATGCTTCAGAAGTTCGGCCCTGTAGCTGAAGCATTGCCTCAACCGTAGGAGAGATTGAATCCCACAAGACCTGAAATCGTTTACCATGATATCTCATATTAATTAGTGCACAATGACCTTGCAACAAATTATCATCCCTTGAAGATGCGACACGACAAAGGAAAAAGGCTTGCCACATGAACAAACCTCTCTGGAAGAAACGAGAACAACGCGCTCTTCTGGATCAGAGGTGTTCTCCACTTGAACGTTCGCTCCTGTTTGCTGCTGCAACTGTTTGACATTTGCGCCACCCTTCCCGATCACACCGCCAATCTTTGCAGCAGAGCACACGATTTTCATGGAAAACTCCTCAGCCTCTTCTCTAATGGGGTCACCACCATAGCCACCAGGAGCATAATTAGAGGACTCGTCTCCATACCATCCTCCGTGCCACGGCATAGGAGGCACAGGAGGAATAGAAGCATCAGGATGATATAGGCCTTGCGTACTTGCCAATATGACATCATTTAAGGAGGGATTTTCTTTACGAGGATGCTTGTGTAGCATAGTGGAAATATCATACAGAGCTCTCCTAACCACAGCTGGGGTTCCAGATATCTGGAGAAATTCCTTCCATAGTTCAGATCATTCTCTGGATGAAAAAGTAATGACAAGGGAAGAGGGAACAATCTTCTGTACAGTGCATGCAGAACATCTCGGAAGCTTTTCATCAATTAAACACAAGTTAAGATTTGCACAAGTAAACACAACACACGAGCTGGAACTGGAATCCAACTTTGACATCGATAAGAAGAGAAAGTTAAGATTAGTAAGAGTTAAACGACACACAATCTGAGACTAACGTCCGTTTTATTAGAGGTGCACGCAGGATTTGACTTTAGAGAAGAGGGGATTTGACATGTATTGGGCAAGACGAAGTCAATGTCCAAACCTATCAAATCCTAGGATGGGCAGTTATATAAACCTCAATGTAAACTACAATTCAATTACAGTATTAAAAAATTCCAAGATTCGTAATCAAGTTTCATTTATCTAAGATATAATCCAATATTCCTATTTTTCATAGACCTCGCCCCTGCAAAGATGCATAAACAATCTCTGTACTTGAACGTCAATTCCAAAGTGACTGTCAAATAAATGGCAGATCCATTCCCTCCTTTCTTAACACCAACACTAAGCTCGCCACATATGACTTTACTTCAACGCATCATTTTTCACCTCCATATGTTAAGCTTTCGTAGCATAGTTATCGACCCCTCCCCACTTATCAAGCTTTATCACATAAACGTAGGTACTTTAGGAAGAAAGAGAGAAAGAAATCCCAGAAGCTTGAGTATTCTCCCAGCTAAGTGATGATATCACTTAGACAAATGGCATTTAGAAATCTGAGTTCAGCTAAGAGACGATAAATTTCATAAGGTACGGATCTGAATCTTTCCTCCTCCATCAATTTCATTATAGAACATGGATTAAATGAAAATTTTCAACCCAAGTAGAATCATGGTCACCAGATGTAAAGACTATTATATCATCAACAGGGTGATTCCCCGTGTAGCATTCCGAAAATCACATTTAGGATGTGTTTTGAAACCGATTCAGCACAACTGTAAAGAGAGGATAAATAGTTGCACTGTCCATTGTCTACCAAAATCATGCTCCTATGTGAACTGATATCCAGAATGCGGTGTCAACTGTTTACAGAACACAATATCCCCAAGTATATCTGTTACTAAATGGCAAATCTCATAAGAACGAACAAGGCAGCACCAATCTATTTGACAAGTTTCAGCTAAGTCACAATGACAAAGGAAACTGATTAGATTGAACAGAAGACAGCTGCTGATAGATAGTTTAGAAATTTAAAAAATTCAAGAAATTGCAACCCAAAGATCAATACAAAATGATGTGCCATCCCTCAAACTTCTCCAGGAAAAAATTACCCACTTATACTGGGAGATCTGCATATGGGGAATATTTTTAAAGAGCTAATTGATGTGTTCAAGAAGAACAACTAAGTGGATGAATAAACAAGTATGTACGTGAAAGTAGCTTCGTCACCTTTACAACGACTAACTTCCCAGACATGATGCATGCTCTAGAAATACAGACGCGAATAATAACTACAGGCAATAGTGTATACCTGGACCAATTCATCATTGGCCATGGCACAAGGTGGGAGATGCTCTGCAGGCAGTATGCGAATGTTTGCACCAGTCTCACTGCGCAATTTCTGAATTATATTTCCACCTTTACCAAGAAGACAACCAACTTGATTATTTGGAACTAAAATCCGGGAGGTGACAGTTTCATCAAGCTCTACATCATTGTACTCCCTGCTTCCATGTAATAGTTCATCCGCAGCAATCCTATCATGTACTTTCAACAGAGCATCTTGAGCAGGACAGTGAGCCTTCAGCTGCTCATCATTTTCAGCAAGATCATTCTCAGGATCCTGATCACTTTCAAAGGACCTGCTTTCTTCGGATAGATAACTATAAATGATGATGACTCTCTCTTCTGCGCCAGGAATGGCATCAGCCACCCTTATCTTTGCATGAGTTTCCTCCCTAAGTTCGTTGATAATGCTGCCACCTTTTCCAAGAACACTGCCAATCTTTTTGATTGGACAGAGGATGCGATAGATGGTGTCAACAGGTTTAGAACTTGCTTCGCGTTGCTCATTGTTATAGCTAAACCTTTTGCGTTGCACATTATCAAAGTGTGAAAGAGAACGTTTGTTGGAAGACATTCGGTGTGTCTCATCAAGAGAGTTCAGTCCGCCTTCTGCATGATGAAGAACTGAACTTCAGTTTCTAGGAATGGCAGAAAACCGGAGGAAAAAAAAAAAAAGTATGTTCAGAAAAGAGCATTAAAGAAAAGGCAGGGCATAAAAAAATGGATTTCTCGGTTTTTTTTTTGTCATGCAGCTATTAATTCTTTCAAACCACCCAACTATTATCTTTTCCGTCCTCAGGAAACATTGCTATCTGAAGATAACGAGAATGCTCAGAATACTCCATGACTTTTGTCATTTATAGAAGAGAACAAAGCAAGAGGGAGGGCATTTCATGAGGCCCCTACAGAGAGGAAAAGGGCTAGGAGGCAGCAGATGGTCAGTGAGATATGCACCGAGGAAGGAGATCAGATGGTTGTTTCTGAGGGAGATGAGGAATGCAATGATACAATTATCCTGCAATGTGAATCTAAGAGAAACAGGAAGGGTACAAGAAAATTCTTAATGATTCACAATGTGCTGCAAAATCACATGAGAAACATCTTGAAAAATAAAAAACAAAGTCTAATGAAACTTATTGCATTAGAACTTAATCTCAAGAAACCACTGACCCATAAATATCATCCACAAGTTCAGCGATAACCACGGAAAATTGGAAATAATTCCAATGACACCCAACTGACAAACTCTGGACTGAGTAGCTACATGGCAAGCCATGTAATTATTATACAACCAGTAAAGTGTATCTCATTGTTTCCAAAATTAGCAGCTGCATTCGGCATTATTTCTTCTCTCAATGGGCAAAAGAAAAGGTCATCTTTTTATCTAAAATGATCAAACATGTATCCCACGGAATTATTGACATTGTGGAAAGGAAGTGTCAAGGTTTTCTCAAGCGGGCTATATATCAGCCAATCAAAAATATTTTCTCTCGTGCAGATTCCCCGAGTTCCTCACCATACCCCCCACAATTTTCTTAGAATATTATTTGAATGAAACTCATAGATATATGACCCAAAAGCCCCTTATGCTCCCAAATGATCACAGCCACTCTATTCATCCAGACACGAATACACAGTTGCATGTAAATAAAAAAATTCATACAATGAGGAAAGCATACGACAGGAGAGCATCCTAAAGAGATAAATTTAAGAAGGGGCTGGTGGCAAGTTCAACAAGGGGCCGTAGTTCATATGCGCGGCTAGATGATCCGGTAGAATACATCTCATATCACAGATAGATGTAATTACACCACCTAAAACCAGAGGGGTTCCATCTGATAAAGAGCATTTCTTTTCACATACAGTCCAAACGCTTCATCTGTTCCTGAGAGCATTCAACCTCCCAAGCCCCAAGCTCATTGCCATACTTCATCTGGCGCTACTTCATCCTGCTGAGGATGGCCTTTGAGTAAGATGCTGACGAACGAGATAGCCAGAGACATTGAGAAAGAAAATGATTGAATGAATGATCTCCCGAGCATCAGTTGATCCCAGAGGCGTTCATATCGATGGAAAGGGCAACTCCTTAAGCAGGATATATCGCCGCAGCGATGCCGCCTGCAACCTCCAGCAAACTTGCCCACAGCAGCAGCATCCCCTCCATAGATGTTCTCACGATCAAATTAAGATTTTTACAGGATTTCGGGCCCGCTGTTATCAAGGCTGTGAGTCTCTACTCCCCAGTCCCCAGAGGCAAATGCTCGGGGCATGTGTATGAGCTAACAAGACAAGAACAGGCGTGATTCCTCGGCAGCGGATCGTGTAGTGGAGGAGGGGGCGGAGAGAAGGAAAACCCTAGAATGAAATCGTCAAAAGGAGAAGAACGGCACGAAAAGCGCGGGGCCAGCCACCGGGAAGAGCAACTGGTACCTTCGTCCCCCCGTCCCTCTGCCGTCGGCAACGTCAGCAGGGCCGGCAAGGGCAGGCTCTTCTGTTCTCCCCGCCTCGGTTCCTGCCGTCAACCTCGGACTTGCCTCGTCACCGACGTTATCACGATCCCCAGCACCTCCTCTACCACCGCCATATGCTGCCGTCGCCAGAGAGGAGTCCCCAAGAAGCTGGTGACGGGTATGTAGTACTCAGAGCCTTAAGATATCCCAGTACTACTACTATCTGAGTAAATCAGCCTGCAACCATTGCCAGAACTTCAGGAGCCTTAAAAGAATTCTCTTGAATAATATACTTCCTGTACTTCAGGATCAGGAAGATTTTAATGCTTTTTTTATAGAAATCAAAATCCCTGAACACAAGGGACCATGTAAAAAAGCAATTTAGGAACCATTGACAATGTGCCCAACATCACTTCATCTCTTCATGGAAGGAAAAATCCATAAAATAAGGTGGCACCTATGAGGAAAAATTGAATAAAAAGTTTAATACTCAAAATTAAACAAGGGCATAACTGGGTCTATACAATAAAGAGGTCTCTCAAGAATGTGATCAGTCACTAAAATCAAAAATTTGGTCAAATTTATAATCTGGAATATTTTCGATATATAAGGATTAAAAAAAGTAACCACTGCACAAAGTATGCACATGAATCACGCCCAAGAGAATTAAAATAAAAAACTACCCCCCCCCCCCACCCCATTCTTGTGAAAATTTCCTGTGATAGACTTTTTTCCTCAATGTATATAAATAAATATCTTATGAACAGGTCTTAATTCATTAAGAGCTATTCCAATGAAGAAAGATATGCAAGGAATAAGAAACAACAAAGCCAATAAGAAATGTGGTGTTTGACGATTATATGAATAGTTTCCAATCCATACCTTAAAAACCTCGGGGTTCTATTGGTCTCAAGTGAAGCACAATAGGAATCAAGAGGGGAGAGTTAAATTGGTGATTTAAGGTCTGCACAAAAATGACAATCACTTTTTTTTCTCAATTAAGTTGAATTGACTCCCAAGTTGAATCACAAAAATTGTAGCAGTTTAACACTCCATGGCTACTATGTTCTCTCAAGTGCTTGTCTCTAAACTCCACTTCTCTCATCATAGCTTCAAATGCTAAACATAGAGGTAGTAGCTCACCCACCTCAAGTAATTGGTGTAGAGTTTGTTGACTACATTTCTTTTACAAAACTCTAGGACTTTTAGAGGGAGGACTAGATAAGTATCCATCTTAGCTCGATAAGATTCATGGTTGTTGAGAGTCTAGTACTAAATGCACATCTTAGCACCCTACTTGTACCAAATCCACAACTTTAAGGCTAAACAATCAATTCTGTATGTTAGTTCATCATTCAACTTATCACTTATGGTGTGATATTGGAGCATGGGTAGAAGTGGTGCAAGCACAAGACACCACATACAAGTATAAATGTTTACTTTTATCCTCTTTTTTTATTTACCCTCCTCATTCTCAAGTGAGTCAACTCCTTTTCTTCAAATTTATCCAAATACTAATGTTTGGTCTAAAATTTTCTTAAGAATTATTATATGTTAATGTAAAAATTATAAAAAAAATTAGTAAAAAAAATTCATATGATAGTGTGAATTGTCTTCTTTACCTTTAGTCATGTCAAAGTACTTGGTGGCTTCAAAAGCTCTGAATTTTAGCCCATCTAGTGATCTCATCTCTTATGGTTGCCAAGATCGATTTCCAAACTATATCACTTTTTACCATGTGGAAAAGCTCTTAGGTTGCCTAATACTTGTTGCACACAAACAAATGGTTTAGATATAACAAGCTAAAACATCATGATGAATGTGTTTATTATAAAATTTTAATTTGAAATATTACATGAATCCATGATCTTCTCTCAATATATGTAAGGTAGTGCAATGTTTTTCTAAAAAATGTCAATTTAAACAAAAAAAGACTAAATAATTCATGAAGGTGGTCAGTACATGATATGTATTTTGGTATCCTAGGTTAGGAGTAGATTCATGCAATATAGTTGACAAATGGCTAAGACTTGTGTAATATGTTATAAATCAATATATTAAGTATCACATTAAAAAAATATATGCTATATTTAGTATAATAAGAAAGTTTTGTTATGTCAATTGTAAACATATGTATAGATGAGGGGGGGAAAGTGAGGCTTCTATGAAAAGTAGGAATAGGCATTGCTTATCTCATAGTTGCCCTCACATTGGCTTTTGGAAGAAATTTTGCACATATTTACTTTCTATGAATACAGTAAGGTTGTAAAACCATTAGAGATATATGATAGTTTTTCGAGACTTTAGTAGTATTGAATAACACTCTAGTACAATCACAACTTCTCACCTATAAAAGGAAATATTTTGCATTAGTCTTCATTGTGAAAGCCACCACTCTTTTACTATTATTTTTTGGAGGTCAAGATATTTAGTTCATGAACAATGCTAAAGAATTGAAAAGAACTTAGAAATGTCAAATGACGATCAAAATTGTTAAATTTTACTCACTGATTTATCATATGTGTGATCATCTACACTAAGTTGTTGAGTTATGGATTAACTCAATAATTTTTTTAATGATTTATAGAGAAAAATAGTTAAAATCACTCTATTATATATTGTCTAAATTCGATTAAAAGATATTGAAGGCCTTGGCATGTTTAGAGAGCTTCAATTGTGACTATATGTACTAAAAGCTATTTTAATAACCTCACATGTTATATAATGATTTAATTGATGATCTTAATTGTTGGATATTAAGGAAGTCTCACTTATCATTCAGTTTGTACAAAAGACTCCTAAGTTAAATTATTTGAGTATGAAATAAATAATAAGTTTATGTAAGATAAAATTTTCATTATCCTCAGCATAGGTCTAAATATTTTAATTTTCTGCACTAATTAGCAACACTAACATAGGCATGTGACTAATTATTATAAAGGTCGTGAATCAGGAGTCAAATACAACAAACCACAGAAAAATATGAAGACATTGAATTCATATTAATTTTACAAGATTAACATGTAGTTTAGAAGTTCAAAATACACGTGTGGGTGATGATTATAAGGGAATATTCTGCCAACTATTTTGGCCCAAAAATATCAAGGATATTAGGGAACATTTT